ACGATATTCTCTTCATCTTCTGGTCTGCTAAAGCTGCCACAGCAGCCCTGGAAGGCAAAAATCTTGGTTCATCATGGGATGATGATAACACGGGGAGAACTAATAGCCCAGACACAAAGATATACGGAAGGGACGAGCTATTGGCCCGCCTTCAATCAGAAGCAGAACAGATAGTGAACAGGAGGAATTCCGGCACCTCCGGTGCAGGGCCATCTAACATTAAATCACCTGCTGAAAATACTGCTGGTAGTTCATCATCGAGTAATGTAGTTGTGGGATTTGTTGGATATCCTAATGTGGGGAAAAGTTCAACTATCAATGCTCTCGTTGGTGAAAAACGGACTGGTGTCACCTCCACCCCTGGGAAAACAAAGCACTTTCAGACATTAATTATCTCTGATAAGCTGACCCTCTGTGATTGTCCTGGATTAGTTTTTCCATCTTTCTCTAGCTCAAGATATGAGATGATTGCTTGTGGGGTGTTGCCAATTGATAGGATGACTGAACACCGGGAATCTGTCCAAGTTGTGGCTGATAGAGTCCCAAGACATGTCATCGAACAGATTTATAAGATAAGGCTTCCTAAACCTAAGCCATATGAGTCCCAATCCCGTCCCCCTCTAGCATCTGAACTTTTAAGAGCATACTGTGCTTCCCGTGGGTATGTTGCTTCTAGTGGACTCCCTGATGAAACTAGGGCCACCCGTCAGATACTGAAAGATTACATTGATGGGAAGCTGCCTCACTATGAAATGCCTCCAGGTACATCAGAAGAGGAACAAGCTTTGGAAGATCCCACCACACATGACTCAATTGACTTGCATGCATCAGATTCGTCTGATATTGAAGATTCTTCAGATGTCGAGAGTGGTCTTGCACCAAATCTTGAGCATGTATTGGATGACCTCAGTTCATTCGACCTAGCTAATGGACTTGCTCCAAAAAGTACGACTCTTAAGAAGTCCAAGGCATCGCATAAACATCATAAAAAACCGCAGAGGAAAAAAGATCGTGCCTGGAGAGCAGGAAACGATGATGCTGATGGGACGCCGGTTGTAAGATTCTTTCAGAAACCAGCTAACACAGGTTCTCTGAAGGATTGATGAGGCCATGTGATATTGTTCTTGTACAACAGCTTATGTGTTAAAACTTATTTACATTGTTAATACGAGGTTAAAGATAACGTTTGTTTGGGATATTCCGGTAATATGATTTGAGCAATTTTACGTAAGCTCGTCTTGTAGGAAAAAGATGTTTGTGTGAATATTGTTGTTCTTATTAATGTGTTGAGAATGATGCCGTAGGACTGAAAAATTAGGTTCTATTGTACTAGTACTAGTGATAGCTACGCATCTGTGTGCCAATAATTGAGACGATTTTGAAGGTTCCTTGATGTTTAGGACAATAAAACATTATACAAAGCATTTTTATTTCTATCTATATGGATTAGTTTTATTTGAGCTATTTTTTCGACCACTATGTATGTGCCTTTGCTTCTCAAGTTTCACTGTGCGTGAGGTTAGAAGAGAGGAAAATGTTTCATAGATATCTGGTTTGCTTCTATTCATAAATGAGAGAAAGAATTATGTGGACCTCACTCTTCATTATCACACTTTGATAAGACAGACTTAATGTCTTATGCATCTAAATGAAAGGAAAATAAGTCTAAGCTATAAATCCAGAGAAGCTATAAATCCAGAGAAGCTATAAATCCAGAGAAGAGAGAATGCATTTTTATTTAAGTTAACGTTTTGTAGACCATCAGAATAAAAATTCCTCCAAATATTCTGCTTCACTCCTTCACAACCAAGGAGAGAAGTAAAATTTTCAGTTCCTATATTGATAGTCTTAAGTTCCTCTAGTTTGAATTTATTTTCGCCCTTCTTACCACTCTAAATTTCATTCTATTAATTGAAGTTCTTCATTTCAATAGAAAAAAAACTAATGCTTTGAGCTTTCTACTATTCCTTGATGTCATCAAAGACTTTTTAAAGAGATAAGCGTTATCTCTCATAATTTAAATTCAAAATAATAATTTTCTAACTTTTGTAGCCATTATCATGTTTTTTCTTATTTTTTGCGAATACAGTTGTACAAATTTGAGTTCACTTTGAAGTATGAAAACTTAATCAATGTTTTATGGGAAAAATTATAAATAAAATACTTTTTCTATTTTCGTACAAACTTTTAAGCGAATTTAATGTTTTAATAAAGTGCGTTTAATAAATTTTCAATATTTTTTTAGTGTAAAATATTTACATTGTTGATTAATTAGGAATAAAAAATTGTACTATGATTTACAAGATAACTATCATAAAAAGTAATAAACTCACTATACGCTATATTTTATCATTACATATCATTATATAAATGATTTTTCTTCTAAGTTACATGAATATGGAAACAAAATTATGTACAGTATTAAAAACCAGTGATTGATTAAGATAAAATCTCTTAAAAAAAGTTAAATGAATCAGAAGCGGATACATACTGATCTGGCATGCATTTTGGTCCATGTGAGATTGTCTACGAGATTCCACCTCGCATGAAAACAACGAAAATGATGAACTCATGAAATAATAGAAGTTAACCTTCTTCCACAGTGAGCCAAACATGTATTCCCCACCATACTTCAAACCTCAAATAATTAACTAACAAGTACAAGAATAAACCTGGTTAATGAACAAATCTTGTGTAAAGTTGAAATCTGATTCTTGGTTTGTGGACAAATTATTAATTAATTATAAAATCAATTTAAAATATATAACTAGATGGAAAACTCATTTTATAAATTAGTTCTATAATTTAAATTAAATTTAAAATTTATTTTTTAATATTCAAAATCATGAGTTAAAACTTATTTTAATAAGATTTTTTATTTGATTGATTTATTATGTCATCTTTTATCAAAATATTTAGTATTTATTAGATATATTGTTATCAAAATATCGGATCACTCGTTAATATACAAGATAGTTTTATAAAATTAAATTAATATTAAAATCAAATTCTTAATGCATAAACCATATTTAAAAATAAAAATTAAAAGATAAATCTCAAATAAAAAAAAGCATAAATGAAACCTTTGTAGGAAGACATGGAGGTCCTATCCTTAGTTGTCAATAATTGGCATGACATGGGAAATGAGCTAAGCAAAAGGAATGCAGTCATGAAATGTGACATTGTAATGTAGTATTTAATAAAGTGCCTTTTTTTCCATAACCAGAAAGAATGTGTACCCTCATGTTTTCATAACTCACCTAAACATAATACAACACATGCCACTCAACACTATTAATGTCTTTATGAATAGGTTTCCTTTCCACTCTACAAACTTTCCTTCTCAACATTCCTTTTGCCAAAATATACTCATACCACAACACTTTCACCCTTTTTTTATTTATTAAAAAAACAACTTTTAAATTCATGTTTACATAACTATCACTGAAAACAGAAACTACAGTGAAGGGATAAGTGTTTTTATTTTTGTTTCATATGAAGAAAAAGAGAGTTCAAATGTTTTATTTTATTTTAGTAAATAGTTTACAATCAAAATTTTCACCATCATTTCACTGACTTTGACTTTTTGACAGTAAATAGTTTCAGCTGAAAAAAAAACAAAAGTCAATGCTCATATATTGTTGAGACAAAAAAATATTGCAATTAAAAGAAGTCAACTTATTCACTACGTGTTATTATAAAATATTAGTTTAAGAGCATAAAAAGATTTCTTAAATATAAGTGATAAAATAAGAAACTATTGTTTGAAATAATTTTCAAACATGAATTTATCCTACTTTATTCATTGATGATTATTCAACCATAGCTTATAAGATAATTATATTTAATTTTTTCTAAATTATTTTTTAAATAAAAAATTTCCGCTTCTTGATCATAAAAAGGAGAATTTTTTGTAAAGACAGCGCGTGGTGTCACCTTCCATGTTTATTGGCACGGTAATGCGAAAAAGAAAGAGAATGATGTTACCTTAACTAGCTGGTTTGTTTTTGTAGAGTTAAACCAATCGCCGGTTGTCCCGGTAACTCTTCCGTTCTCCGCTGTGTCGCCGCCTGTGAATTCGTCCGTACGACCGCCCCTACCGGTCACCAACTTCACTCTCCGTTCCTCGACACAATCAACCTTGTCAACCAACCAAATACCGAATAATTCGGTATCAATAAATACATGCCCTTCAAAATAATATATATAGTATAATATAATATATAATTACCTTTTTTAAAAAAAGATTAGAAAGGTAGAAAAATAAAAGTAGAGAGAGAAAGACACGATCCTTTTGCCTCAGTTAAAGAATTTTTTTTCTTCTAATTTTTTATTAATTTATTTTTCTGCTTTGGGTTGCAAATTGTGTGTGAGAATTCAGATTGCTCCTCCGTCCCGTTTTGTTTCGTTCACCACCGCTTCTTTCATTTCTTTGTTTTTCGCAAAGACAGAGAGCGAAAACACAGAGAGAGAAAGAGAGACGAAATAACCTAATTGAATTTTCCTCTATTTTTGGAAAATTTGCGTGCGTGAAAATCTTAATTTGAATTGGAGGAGCGGAGGATCTGTCTTAGGGTTTTTAATAGCAATTTTTTGAACCGAATCGAAATGTTGGCTCAGGACGCGGTTTCGCGGGAATTCTAGCTCCGATCTTAGAGCAATTGCTCGAATCTTAGGGTTAAGAAATGGACGTTGATTCCTCGATGTTGCCGGAGGCCGATCACGATTCGGCGGTGCAGAACCATGCTGAGAGAGACCAGTTAAAAGAGTCACCGCCTCCTCCGTCGCCGCCGCCTTTGTCGACGGCAGGTGGATCTCAGGCTCAGTCGCCGTCGCAACAGCAGCCGTCTTCGCCGGTGACGGGGGGTCAGGTGCAGCATAGTCCGGTGGTTGGTCCGAGACTCGCGCCGACTTACTCAGTGGTGAATGCCATTTTAGAGAAGAAGTAGGATGGGTCGGGACCGCGGTGCGACCACACGTTGGAGGCGGCCGGAGAGGAGGGGACGTAGGGGTACATTGGTTCGAGGTGGAGTTTATTCCGCGGTGCCACTGAGCTTGAAGGGAATTCTGCGGCCTCAGGGACACCTTCATCCGCTGGAAATGCTGGCATACGTATGTATTTTATTTTCCTTTTCGTCGTGAAGGCAATAACATAACGTAGATGCAGCTGCCGAGTATTTTAACTTTTGGTTTGTTAGTCTGATCAGAATCTTGAAATTTATGCTTCGCGCTTTGCATGCGGCCATGTATCTATTTGGCAAGTTATTATAGATGTTTATACACGATGGCTTCGATTGTTTTGTTGGTTAAGGTTATGGAAATGTAAGTGCTATGCAAGAGGTTTTTTTCCTTCACGTCGTTATCCATATGAACTAAATGCTGGTCATGGAGACCATGGTTCTCATTAACCTGGTTTTGGATACTTCATTCATCTTGGGCACACTACAGTGCAATAAATGAATTGAAATCTATGGAAATTTTTACAGATATTGCGTTTAATTATTTGTTTCCTTTTTTGTGTTCTGTGGGTTAAATTGGAAGTTTATAGTTAATTTTAAAACGTTTCCATTTGCATGGCTTTCTGCCCCCTTTTTAGTGGGGCACGAAATAGATGGAAAAAACAGTATTGGGAAACATTTCATCACATTAGCTGGTCTTTAATTTCTGAATATAATGTGTCTCATCCATTCCAATCCAATACATGTTTACTCCATCCGTACTTCTATGCTTACTTATGAGCCAGAATTTTATTTCATTATCAATTACATCTTAACCAATTGTTCAATTAGACCAATCCCCATTTCTTTGCTGTGGATTATGGAATATTGTCTTTGTCTGAAGCTATGAAGCTCAGATTCTTAAAAAACTGGTAACTTATTGGTGCAATCCACATATCTGATATCTGATACCAATATCCTATATAAAGTATTTAAGGAGTATTCTTCAACTTTTATTTTCATTTATTTTTAAATTTAATTGACTGATGTTTGGATGTGTTTCTGCTACTTTGAGTACAAATAAAATTATATATGATTGTATCTTTTCCTCAATATCCATAAAGCTATTGGCAATTATATGTAGCCAGTATTCTTTTAAATAGTACAAATGATACATTTTGTCACATTCTAACACAGGTTATGGAAAAATATGTAAAGGGAAGATACTTTTTTGGTTCCAAATTTTGATCATCATCCATGATAAAGTCTTGAATTAACGGCAAAATATCAATATCTCTTTACAAACACTATGCATTTGCATGGGTTTGTCGTTTTATTTTTTTGTATATAATTCATGTCAACATATCTAGCACTCAAATTATATATTGTATTTTTACTAAATTTCTGTATTCTTGTATCCGTGTCACATAATTTCCGAGTTACTTGAAGATCTAGGCTCCGTTTGTCTTAACTTTTTTAATTCCTTTCTTCCTATTGCTTTTCTTGCTGCTGTAACTGGTAAGTTTTTTGTTTGAGATATTGTGATGTATAATGGAAACAGTCATTTTATTCCTGAAAAACTTTGGATTCGAAAAAGGTACTTATCATATCTGTCAAGAGATGGTTGTTTGCATATTTGGCTCTTTATTTCCTGAATACCCGAATATGTTTTTTTTCTCGTGAATTGCAGTATTAAGTAGTATTGATTGTAAATTATCATAAATTATAGGACAGAAATGGTTCAACAAGATTGATGGTTGACTGTTGTTGTTTCTGGTGGGTTACTTTATATATCACTACTGATCAAGGAAAAAAAAATAAGGCTGATAAAGAATGTTTTGTTTCTCATCTGGGCCCAAGTGATATTGTTTTGGGCAAGCAATGCCACCCATTTCTACGTAGTTGACAGGCCTTGCTATATATCATAATTTAACGGTTATACTTTTGTACATCATTTGAAGCTCCATACAATTGGTGCAGTTCTTGAAGTTCCAGCTATCATTCATTATTTCTGGTGCAAGCCAATGTCAGAAGCTAAAGACTGATGTTAAAACTTGATTAGGCCGTTCCTAATTTAATGGAATTTGCATAATCTGTTCATTGTGTTAGGGATGTTTCAAGACAAACAATGATTTTTGTCTACATGTTGTGCATTCCTCGCCCCACCCTTTGTATAAGCATTGATATTGATTGGATTGGATTGGTTGGTGTTTATGGTTGAAATTTGTCATGACTGGTGCATTTCATTTGCCACGCAGGTTTATCTGGTGCCACTGCTGATGTCCACTGTTATGATGTCATAACTAATAAATGGTCTAGGTAAGCTCAGTACTAAGTTCTTCTTTTCAGCCTCTTTTATGGCTTAAGTAATGCTTGTATAGCCTTGCATACTTTGCTTCAGTGCTTATAAGGAAATTTGATGCAGGATAACTCCCATTGGTGAACCGCCAACGCCTAGGGCTGCACATGTGGCAACTGCTGTGGGAACTATGGTTGTTATTCAGGTATTGTTGAGAGTCTATCTCTTAGGTTATCTGAATATTGTTTAATTTGTTTCCCTAAATGAGTACTGCCATTCTCACTGGAGTATTTGCACACCATAAAACAGGGTGGCATCGGTCCTGCTGGTTTGTTTGCTGAGGATCTTCATGTTCTTGATCTCACTCAGCAACGACCACGATGGCATAGGTTAGATAGAATAATAAACTACGTTTTCTTTTCCTCCTTAATGATGTTTATCTGATTTAGTTTGTTCTGAATTGCATTTAGAGTTGGTGTTCCTGGCCCTGGACCAGGACCACGCTATGGACATGTTATGGCTTTGGTGGGGCAGAGGTATCTCATGGTAATTGGAGGCAATGATGGTAACTACTGGAATGCTCCTTTTTACATTGTTCGTACTGGATGTTTCCTCTGAATGCAAATTTACTGATGTTAACTCATTTGTTCCCTGCTTTCCAGGAAAGAGACCTTTGGCTGATGTATGGGCTTTGGACACAGCTGCCAAGCCTTATGAATGGCGCAAGTTGGAGCCAGAAGGAGAGGGTCCACCTCCATGCATGTAATGTGTCTGACCCTTCCTTAGTAATATCTTGACTTCACTATGCACACATTTCAATTAACCACATTGAATATTATGCATGTCTCGTTTCAAAATCCATTGATGTCATGGACTAGGTTCTGAGGGTCACTTAGGGCAGGTTTTTCTTGTTCTGTAGCCTTTGATGTCTTAACTAGGTTCTGATGGTCAACATAGAGGTGACTGTAATTGAGTTGAATAAATTTGAATCCTTCATGTTGGTTTGTTAGATTGACATGCGTGTGAAGATGTGGATGTGTTGGTTTGTTAGACTGACATGCTTTTGGTTAAATTTATTTTTAAGTTTGCTTCCCTTCATATCATATTATTTGTCCCATTTTTTCACTATTTCTATGCCTTGGGTTTGTTCCTAATGTTCTTTGTTCTTTCTATCCCCCTCTTCCCCCTCCAGGACAAAATTGGTGAAAACAGATTTTTCTGTAATTTTCAGTAGTGCTGCCATGTTAAGCATGCTATTATCTAGTTTACTATTGCATTGTATATTTGGGCTGGTATATTTGTTGATCACTGCTTTATTCTTCCTACAGCTTGAGAACGTTTTGATATTAGAGTTGGATTGCCTTTATATTGGGGTTGCTTTTATGTATGATGATAATTAGGTTGTGGAATATTCTTAATGAAGAGTGAATTAAATGCTACATTATTGTTTAATGGAAAAGGCAACTCGGAAGCAAGTTTGTATTTGTTGAGGTTAGCAAATAAAGATAACCTCCCTTAATTTTGTTGGAGATCCTATATCAATTAGAGATATAGCCAAATTATAGTTTATAAATAGATACAAATCTTACTTTGCAAGTTATTTTTATAGGGTGGAGTTAGGCTTTACTCCACTTTCTATTGTGCTTCTTGCTATTGGACCACTGTCAAATCACCACAAGTATTTAGTCACATGCTCTAAACATATTGTAGGGTGTATTGGAGATCTCACGGGAACTAAACATATGACTATATTATAATATATAAGTGGGTGCAAACCTTATCTTACAAGATAGTTTTGTAGGGTTGAGTTAGGTCTAGTTCTACTTTCTTAGAAATTTAATAAATTACATTGTAATCTTAACTCAATATATGATGTAAGGTTGAATGTACCCTTAGTTGTTCACTTTGGTGGCAAACTTACTTTAGGGGAGCTTTCTCCTGTTGTTATTTAATCAATCATGATTCATGACCCTTTTTGCTAAAGTCTTGCTTAGCTAATACTGTTTTTATTGAGCTCAGGAGTGTACTATAAGGATCTTGATTGTTGTTACCACAACTAAAACTTTCCTTTTCTTTATTATCTTGTATACTTGAATTTTTTATGATTTGGGATTGAGTTACTGTTTTGTCATTTACTTTTTATTAGGTATGCAACTGCCAGTGCACGATCTGATGGGCTTCTTCTGCTTTGTGGAGGGAGGGATGCCAATAGTGCTGTGAGTTATCTATTCAGACATTCACTTTGTCATTCTATTGAATTAAATTCTGTAGGAATTTCCTGGTATGAATTTGCCATAGTCTGTCATTAGTATCACTTTTATTTCCCGTTATGCCTTTGTGGTTTAGCTGCACAGTGGCCCATCCACTTTTCTTAAGCTACCATGGTAGATTAAGATGTTAACTCACCATAATAATTAGGTCTGTCTCTACCTGGTTGCCATATAAGGAACATTCTGATGGAGGAGTAAACAGAGGCAAAGATAAGGTATGTTCAAGAGTTGAAAAAAAAAGGCAAAAACAAAACAGAGATACTAGGAGGAATGTAGCAAATTACAGGACAGTATATTTCTTTTGCAAATTGGATTGATCCAAAGAATCGTGACTGCCTTTCAATTCTTCATAAATAAGTGATCTTCTGTTTTTGTGCTTGGCTTGAGTGTGAAGTAGATCAAGAATGAGAGCAATGTGAGGCTTGCAATTCAGTGGAAAATAATATCTTAATCCTGTTGAACTGCTGTTTGAGCAAAGGAACCTCAATTTACTATTGAGGGAACTTTGAACTTCCAGCTAGTTTTGTCTGGGAAAAACCTTTGACATTCAGGTAACTAAGAAGCCACAGGAATATAAAATGAAGAATAATCGAGAAGTGAGTTCAAACCCTTGTGCCTGAATATGCACAGAAGCAAGTAGATTCAAGTGAATTAAAAAAAAAAATTATGAATACTTGGTCTAACTTGCCTCTAATACTGAAGGTTTTTTCCTCTTCCTAAAATCTCAATAAAAGGAGCAGCATGGCTAGGATTTTATTTTGTGTCCTATTATCAGAATTAGAAAAGTTATATGGTCAAGCACACGTATAGTTTCCACCCAGGCATCATCAGAAAACTTAATTTGGGCGAAGTCAGGTTGATTTTAAGAGTGACCAGTTCTCTGAAAGAAATGTTCCTGAGATAAGCATCCATGGATTAGTGTGAGTAGAGGTAATCACTGGAATGACATCTCCATCCATTCTGTTGTAAACTGTATTTACTCTTTCTTGATAAGTAAAATAATTTGCTTCCTTGTAGAGTTNATGTTAAAACTTGATTAGGCCGTTCCTAATTTAATGGAATTTGCATAATCTGTTCATTGTGTTAGGGATGTTTCAAGACAAACAATGATTTTTGTCTACATGTTGTGCATTCCTCGCCCCACCCTTTGTATAAGCATTGATATTGATTGGATTGGATTGGATTGGTTGGTGTTTATGGTTGAAATTTGTCATGACTGGTGCATTTCATTTGCCAAGCAGGTTTATCTGGTGCCACTGCTGATGTCCACTGTTATGATGTCATAACTAATAAATGGTCTAGGTAAGCTCAGTACTAAGTTCTTCTTTTCAGCCTCTTTTATGGCTTAAGTAATGCTTGTATAGCCTTGCATACTTTGCTTCAGTGCTTATAAGGAAATTTGATGCAGGATAACTCCCATTGGTGAACCGCCAACGCCTAGGGCTGCACATGTGGCAACTGCTGTGGGAACTATGGTTGTTATTCAGGTATTGTTGAGAGTCTATCTCTTAGGTTATCTGAATATTGTTTAATTTGTTTCCCTAAATGAGTACTGCCATTCTCACTGGAGTATTTGCACACCATAAAACAGGGTGGCATCGGTCCTGCTGGTTTGTTTGCTGAGGATCTTCATGTTCTTGATCTCACTCAGCAACGACCACGATGGCATAGGTTAGATAGAATAATAAACTACGTTTTCTTTTCCTCCTTAATGATGTTTATCTGATTTAGTTTGTTCTGAATTGCATTTAGAGTTGGTGTTCCTGGCCCTGGACCAGGACCACGCTATGGACATGTTATGGCTTTGGTGGGGCAGAGGTATCTCATGGTAATTGGAGGCAATGATGGTAACTACTGGAATGCTCCTTTTTACATTGTTCGTACTGGATGTTTCCTCTGAATGCAAATTTACTGATGTTAACTCATTTGTTCCCTGCTTTCCAGGAAAGAGACCTTTGGCTGATGTATGGGCTTTGGACACAGCTGCCAAGCCTTATGAATGGCGCAAGTTGGAGCCAGAAGGAGAGGGTCCACCTCCATGCATGTAATGTGTCTAACCCTTCCTTAGTAATATCTTGACTTCACTAAGCACACATTTCAATTAACCACATTGAATATTATGCATGTCTCGTTTCAAAATCCATTGATGTCATGGACTAGGTTCTGAGGGTCACTTAGGGCAGGTTTTTCTTGTTCTGTAGCCTTTGATGTCTTAACTAGGTTCTGATGGTCAACATAGAGGTGACTGTAATTGAGTTGAATAAATTTGAATCCTTCATGTTGGTTTGTTAGATTGACATGCGTGTGAAGATGTGGATGTGTTGGTTTGTTAGACTGACATGCTTTTGGTTAAATTTATTTTTAAGTTTGCTTCCCTTCATATCATATTATTTGTCCCATTTTTTCACTATTTCTATGCCTTGGGTTTGTTCCTAATGTTCTTTGTTCTTTCTATCCCCCTCTTCCCCCTCCAGGACAAAATTGGTGAAAACAGATTTTTCTGTAATTTTCAGTAGTGCTGCCATGTTAAGCATGCTATTATCTAGTTTACTATTGCATTGTATATTTGGGCTGGTATATTTGTTGATCACTGCTTTATTCTTCCTACAGCTTGAGAACGTTTTGATATTAGAGTTGGATTGCCTTTATATTGGGGTTGCTTTTATGTATGATGATAATTAGGTTGTGGAATATTCTTAATGAAGAGTGAATTAAATGCTACATTATTGTTTAATGGAAAAGGCAACTCGGAAGCAAGTTTGTATTTGTTGAGGTTAGCAAATAAAGATAACCTCCCTTAATTTTGTTGGAGATCCTATATCAATTAGAGATATAGCCAAATTATAGTTTATAAATAGATACAAATCTTACTTTGAAAGTTATTTTTATAGGGTGGAGTTAGGCTTTACTCCACTTTCTATTGTGCTTCTTGCTATTGGACCACTGTCAAATCACCACAAGTATTTAGTCACATGCTCTAAACATATTGTAGGGTGTATTGGAGATCTCACGAGAACTAAACATATGACTATATTATAATATATAAGTGGGTGCAAACCTTATCTTACAAGATAGTTTTGTAGGGTTGAGTTAGGTCTAGTTCTACTTTCTTAGAAATTTAATAAATTACATTGTAATCTTAACTCAATATATGATGTAAGGTTGAATGTACCCTTAGTTGTTCACTTTGGTGGCAAACTTACTTTAGGGGAGCTTTCTCCTGTTGTTATTTAATCAATCATGATTCATGACCCTTTTTGCTAAAGTCTTGCTTAGCTAATACTGTTTTTATTGAGCTCAGGAGTGTACTATAAGGATCTTGATTGTTGTTACCACAACTAAAACTTTCCTTTTCTTTATTATCTTGTATACTTGAATTTTTTATGATTTGGGATTGAGTTACTGTTTTGTCATTTACT